AAAAACATTTTATTTAGGTTTATCTATGGCCTTCAAAAAGTTGACGACTCTACATGTTTCGACGTCGCAACTGAGGATGAAACATGTAGAGTCGTCAACTTTTTGAAGGCCATAGATAAGCCTAAATAAAAATGTTTTTAATTGTGTACGAATTTAACGTTGAATATTATTTATGATTTTAACTTTATACACAAGTGCCAAAGTACTGTAACTGAAAACAAAGTAACAGTACATTAACAAAGATCTCAGCAAACAAACACACACAGTTTTAAGATGAGATGAATTAAGTATAACAAATCACTGGCTTAATCTAAACATTTTTTTTTATTCACGAAACACTGAAAACAAAGTAATAGTACATTAACCAAGATCTCAGCAAACACAGTTTTAGGATGAAATGAATTTTTATTGTACTTAAAAAACTAAATCAAGTACAGCATGCCTTCTTGAAGCAGCAATTCCATCAACTAGTGCATTTTCACTGATAATCAAAAATCATGTGTAATTATAAAAAATTGACTGAAACTAAAATTTCTCTAAAGAGACTTTTTTTTTCATCCAATGTACTAACTGTAAATAGCAAATCTATATTTTTGCTCAATCACCTTAATAAGCAGAAAAGTTAAGAATAATCTTGCAAAAAAATGAAATAAGAATGAATAGCTTCTGATTAGAGCTGGATGATTTAATCACTTAACCCTCTCGCTCCGGGTACCCTTTACTGGAAATATATAAAAAAATCCTGAATTTACACAAGTGTGACCCACGTGACACATTTTGTCTTAGCATGTCATCATCCCTATTTTGTATGTGAAAGATTAATATTATCTGAAAGACTGCCAAATTTTGTGAAGATATACCCAATATATTAAGAGTTATAAGTATTAATTTATAAAGGCTTTAAAACGAGTACAAAAGGTCATGTGACTCAGTCAAATTGAACAATCTCGTGTCGAGAGAGTTAATCAAATACCTATAATTGAAATTCTGATTATATTGATTGTCATAAAAATAATCAATTAATTGCAATTAGTGTTTCATAATATTAAGTTTGTTTTTATTATTCAAACAATAGGTTAATCAAAGTTCCTTTTAACTCCAATGTCATGAAAATAATCAACTAATTAATATTTAGTTTCTGATTATCACTGTTTTTCCCAAGTTTACCCTATTTGTAAACAATTTTGCCATCAAAGTTTCATGAATAATAACATTAACTATCCATATCACAAACATACCTGTTCCTTGGCAATCACAGGTATATGAATTAATTCCATCAGTACAAGTTCCATTGTGCTGGCAAGGGGCTGACTGGCATTCATCAATATTGAGATGACAAGTCTCTCCACCAAATCCTAAAATACAATATTTTAAAGAAAGCAAAATCAATCAACAGAGATCACACAGAAATTAAAAAATACCACAAAACACAATGATTAAAAAACCTGATGTATAGAAAAATATATTCTAGTATAATAAAAGATGAAAATGGGATATTTGTGAAATATTAAATAAGAGAAATGTTTTACATGCAATTGGCCTTTTTTTTTTACTATTTATTTTAGAGAGAGAATCACAAATCTAATACTATAAAACACAGCGTGTATCTGTCTGTCTGTCTCTCGGTCATGCAATGATGTCATAGCAACTTATTATGTAACTTAAGTAGTTTGGCTTCCTGTTAATTAGAAGCAAGTAGTCCACAACTGATCGAAAATTAAAGATATATTTGGACTAAAATGTACAAAAAAAATTGCACCTTTTTCGCAATTTGAAAATGTATCTTTATTAAATCGTCAAGTTACACCAGAAAGGACATAAATATACTTTAGTAGACATTTTATACAACATATTAAAAGCTTATCAAAGTTCTTATAAAGGTCTAACATTAGGTCGTACAATAATATTAGAAGAATATTTATTGATAGTATTAAGTGCGGTAAGGTTTAGCTCTAACTGAACTAAAGCAAAAAATGTACACAATTTACAGTGTTAATTTATCTCTTTATCAATTATAGGCTGTACTTAAAAAAAAGCTTAGCTAATGACAAGTGAACTTGTAGATTTCAGTTTGTGATTAGAATTCTTTTGTATTACTCTAAAAATTCTGTATTCAAAGAAGTACTATTGCAATAAAGATACTAATTTGGCCACAAATGTTTTGCAAGTTTCTGTGTGTTAAATGTAATATTTTTTTATTTCCTATTATCTTGGTGGTGTGGTTAGGAAAATATAACTTGATTGTTCCTGAAAAAAAATAATGTAGTTATCAATCTATCCTTTTAAATTGCATAAAAACCATAGGATGATTTAGTTATTTTTTGTGTGTGGCCATTCCATATCAAATACACACACACACACCCATAAAGACTGACTCCTTCCAACTTTGACAAAACTTGGCAGACAGTTTGGTGTCACTGAAAACATGTTACATATAGAACTTCAGGTCTCACAGACAAAGTGGTTCAGAATTTATGGGTCATAGAAACTTTGACCTTTGGAGGTCACAAAAGCAGTCAAGCTTCGTACCTTATTAATTTATTCCATTTTCAAGTATACTTTAATGTAATGTATCATATTTTGGCTATCTGAATGACATTTGATCTCTCCTTCACTCATTACAAAGTGAATTGAAACTTTAAATATAGATTTCTAATATATCAGCATAAAATCAAACTGGGTACACAAAACTGTTTGACATATAGCCCGGAGCCCAGAGAGTTTCACCTAAAAGTAATTGCAAAAAGAAATAATTTACTTTGAAACTGATAAAATGAACACTGGTAAAAAATATCAACAAATATGAATTACCAGCACTTTTGTAATACTTAGAAATATAATAAATAATTAAAACAACATTTCCTACATAAACAATTTAAAGCATTATTGAAGCTGTACAGCTTTCACTTTAAAATGACATTCTACATGTACTAGTTTCAACATAATGTACATCATCTTCAGGTGTTACTAACAAGACATACTTTATACTTTTACCCCTTGTTGCATTGCTTTACTTTGCATATTAACTTGGTTTACTTTATTTTATCTTTTTTTTTATAATATATCTTGCCATATATCAACATACTGACTTGCTGGTCCTTCATCTCTATTTAGTACTTTTTTTTTATATTTCTAATGTTTCTCTAATATTTAATGCTATAATACTAAGAGGCTGAGTTAAATTTAAAGTTTTTTCCCACAATATTGTATGTTGGGTAGTTTTTTATTTGGCTATACGCAAGGTTTCTATTTCATTATTTCTTATATAACCTTTATGTTCTTGCAATCAGTATTTTATATTTTTTTTAGTTTGACCTATATAAATACTACTACATTCACATTCTATTTTGTAAATACCTGTTTTATCTATTAATTTTATTTTATCATTAGTATTCCCTATCACGTCTTTTATCTTATTTATTGGTTTGATAATAGGATAAAAATGCTTATGATTTTAAATAGTTTATATAATTGACTCGTTAAACCTGGAACATAAGAAAACTTAAAGTTTTTTTGATAAATAGATCTTAGTGTGGTATTTTTAACTATATTTGCACCTTTGTTAAATTTCTTAAGTGCTTTATCTACTATATTTGGTTCAAATTCTCTTTCAATAGCTATATACTTAATTAACAACAATTCATTACTTAAATCTTCCTGTTTTGGATATATTTTTAAAGCTCTATAAACATGTGTAAATACAGATATTTTTTGTGGTTTTATATGACATGATTCTTTGTGTGGCAGCATAACAGCAAATGGTTTTCTATAAACTGATGTTTCTAAGTTAACTTCTGTTTCTTTTCTAACTAGTACAGCTAAAAATGAATGCTATTATTTTCTCCAATTTCACATGTGAATTTAATTGATGGTTCTTTACTAATTAAATAACTAGAAAATTATTGTAGTTTACTGTTGCCACACTAAGAATGTATCATATACATATCTTATCCAAACTCCTGGTTTAAATTTAGAATTATTTAAAGCTTCCTTTTCAAAACTATCCATGTACAGATTATATAACAACAGTGACAAGGGGGAATCGCATAGATAAACACTCTTTTTGTTTATATTAATTTTGGTTAACTTGGAAAAATGGATTTTCTACACACACACAATTGTTAATTACAATATGTCCATAATTTCAACTGCTGGAATTCTGTTTACTATTAATTTATTTTCAAAACATCTGATTGCATTTTCTAATGGTGTTTCAGTAAATAATGATATTACATCAAATGATACAAGTAGAACTTCCTTTTCTAATTTCATGTTTTTAATCCTCTCTACAAATTCTATAGAATTTTTGACTGTATACTTGATCTTATCTCTCAAAAAAGAATACTTTCACGTTATAATCTTTGCTATTTCTTATGATGATGTACCTATACTTGATACTATGGGTCTAAAACTGTTATTGTTTGTATGTATATTTGATACTACATAAAACCTTGGTACTAAACAATTTTCTTTGGAGAATTTAAAAAATTATTATTTTTTAAACAGTTTTTACTTTTTCATGATATTTGTTTATTGGGTTATTCTTTAAAAAAAGTAGACCAAGGAAATATATAAGTAATAGTAAAGCAATGCAACAAGGGGTAAAAGTATAAAGTATGTCTTGTAAGTAACTCCTGAAGATGACGTAGATCACATTGAAACGTGTACACGTACAGTGTCATTTTTTAAAGTAGAAGCCGTATGGTTCCAATAAAGTTTTAAATTGTGTAAATAGGAAACGTTGTTTTTAATAATTTATTATAATTTTAATATTTAGAAGTTATACTTGTTTCCATCCACTCATTTTACCACAATATTTTTAACCCTCTCTCTCTCTCTCTCTCATTGGTGGTATTGTTTATCTATGATGTCAACAAAATCAATATTTCAAGATTATGCAAATTTACAGAAAGGTACAACTCCCATCAAAGTTAAGAGGGGTTCATACAAATTTAAAACAGCAGACAGAAATCTGTTTGCAATTTGTTTTGGGTCATGGTACATTTTGGCATAGGGTCACCAGGCTAATATGGCTGTTTGCATGTATGACATCCCATGAAATGATAAAAGCACCCAGTAACAGTTTCACTGGTGTATTTAGGAGAAACTTTGGCCTTAGCTTCAGAAATCCATTTCATGATATTAATAAGGAGGATGAGCACAAAAAAATTGCTGAAGAATAACATACAGATTCTACTAAAAAGCTTCATTTTTATTATTCACTACATGAAGAATTGGCTTCTAGGTAGTGCCAAGTTTCAAAGCAGTATAGTGAAATGGTTTTCTTTGATCATTTTGTTTTATTTTCTTGTGTGATTTTGCACTTCTATATACTTGAAATTCTTTCTTTACAAACTGAGTACCGATTCCTGGTAATGTACTGACAAGTGAGCAGGCACCTCAGTAAAGACCACATGTTGATTATTGCTGAAGAACTTCATGTTCCAGGGCAATGTGAACATGAAATCTTGAAACTGAAAATAAACTTTGTTGACTAAGTGGGATTAAAATCTTTTACAAGTCTTTTTTTGTAAACACTTCCTCCTCATAGTCTTCTTTATCAGTCCTTTTCTTTCAAACTGATTTTCTTTCTGATAGTTCCCAAAATTTTATTCAGCTTTGATTCTGGATGCCATTTTTGACTAACTTATTTTTAAGAAAACAAGACTCACAAAGGATTATCCAGAGTAGAAATCAGTTCATTATGAGCAGTGGAGTTGCTCAAGTGGAACTTTACGTTGATTCCTTTGGGGCAGGTAGGTTTAAAAGCCATAGTTAATACCTTTGCAGGGTTTCTATCCAGTAAAGAAACAATGTTGTACAAATGTCAGTAAGGTAAAGAAATATTGTATTCAGCACTTGCACAAATGTCATTAGGAAAAATACATCATTTACAGCACTTTTTCTACAAAGGTTGTTATGGTAAAAGAGAACTGTAAGTAACAAAGGTCATAAAGGTAAAAAATCACTATATTCAGAGCGTACTGTGCTAAGGTATAAAGGCAAGGCCTTATTATTTCTGTGTTTTATTAACTTGCTTGATTTAGATATAGCTTGTAAATATATACTATTAATTCACACTAAGATAGATTAAAAATCAAGAAAATTTAATTTTCTTTGAAAACATCTCAACATGTAAATTATTAAACAAAATTTGAATCAAATACAGGTAAATATTGTGTTAAATGATATTTCTATGAGTTTATCTTCACAAAAGTATGTACAGAAACTGATTCATGTAAAGTTTGTTAATGCCAAGGAAATCTGATTCTATCGTCAATTTCAAATTAGTTCTACCTTTTGGACAGCTGCATACGTATCCATTGTTAAGATGGTTCACTTTACATGTTCCACCATTTTGACAGACAACACCTTCGCAAACACTGTTTTCTACTCTAGATTCACAGACCTGTCCAAAAAACTCTGGTTGACAAACACAGTACATTGAGTCTCCTGTTTCATCTTCTTGACATACCCCTCCATTTAAACACTGAATTGCTGTTGTACCTTCACACAATGATCCTACAGATAAATTTATAAGTTAGACTTTAGTTACATCCAAAATAATTTATAATTTATTATCAGGAATATTTTCACACAAATCTAATGTTCAAAATTCAAAAACTACTTAAAGTAATTAATTTGACAACCATTTTAAATGACTAGCTAACTTTATGAAGCATGTGGAGAAAGTTGTAAATTATTAACCCTTTTTTTTAGAACAATCACAATAAGCATCAGTTATTATGACTTAAAATTAAAATAATTAAGCAAATCAATGAGTACCTTTAAAGATATCCGATAAACGCAAATCCAGAGGTTTGTCTAATAACTGATGGCTTTGGATATCTTTTTATCACAAACCAGGGTTTTTAATATTCATAAGATTACATATAACACATTTTAAAAAGACAGAAACCTTGCATAACTCATCACTTGTAATAATCTTTGGGGTAATATCTTTCACATTATTTGTGCACAGGTTTCCATTAAGTATTTACTAGTGTTAATTTGTAGCATATTTATGTTGTACATTTAAAAATTTCTCAGTTATAAAATGAAAAACATACATAAATGTTATATAGCCATATTTCAAAGAAATACTGCCTTTCATATCATCATGTAATTAGTTAATTGGTGTTTTTATCTTAAAAAAAAGTTTAATTAATATTAACTCTTTCAGTGCGGGCTCAGTCCCTGGGACTGACCTCATAACTATTTTGTATTTGTTATATTTTTCATGCTATAACTTTTAAATTAGTAAGCGAATGATAACGAAATTTGCCAGAATATCAGTAAAAATTATAATGCTTTCATACGCAAAATACCTTTTTAAGTCTTAAGGTTTATAAAGCAATGTTTTTCTCGTGTCTTTTTTTTTCTTTCACATGTTGCCTATCAATCATGCAAAGTAATTTCCATTTTAAGATTAAAAATGCTTTTATGCATCAGAAATTTTTGAAATTTCGCATGTAAAATCTTTATAATGTCGATAGTTATCAAACATTTCTTAAGAAAAAACTTTATATTTTATGTGTTATTTTCAGTAATTAATCTCTGTACAGGTTTGTAGATTTGACCAATCTCACAACCAGCATAAAAAATTAAGAAATAAAAATAAATTATGCCTCTTTCATTCTAAAATAAACAAATTCTAACACATAAACATAAATGTTTAAACTAAATAGCTTGAATCTCATAACATTATACATTTATATATATTTATTATTTTTATTATATTGACTTTCAGCTGTGCCTGGCTAGCAATACAGAAGTTACAGTAAACTTTATGATATCCATTTCTGAAGATATTTATTGTTTAAATCAAGATATCCTTTATTACCTACTGTCAGTGTTAGTGATCACATAGTTATCATTATTCATTATAGAAATGACTTTAAATGTACCTCTTGATTTAAAATAACTATGATAGATAGGTGACTCATCAATAATTTAGAAGCATGTTTCATACTGATAAGCATATCTTATTTCTTTGCAGTTCATTAATAGATAAAGTTGGTCTACTTTTCCAGTGTTGTACACTACACACTAAACATCCACAAGACAGCCAAAACACTTAATAGGGGGTTATCACTTATTATTCAGGTTACAGGTAGTGAAGGTGAAGTAGAAATATTAGAATCAAACCCTGTTTCCCTTAAGGTAGGACTAAAAGCTATGTGTAAATAGATACATGCATTTTAGTTGTGTGTAAAATAAGTAGCTTATCAAAACAACTTTCTTCTTTGACTATACTTTGTTTGAACCCTAAATTAAGAAATGACGCAATTAATTCTTACAAAGAACATAAACTCACTGAAAAACAAAACTTGAAACATCACATATATGATACCATATAAACAGTAACATACCCAAATCAATCTCACAAGATGGTCCAGCATACCTTCGTGTACACAAGCACTCGAAACGGGAGACATTTTCATGATAAATACACGTGCTATAATGTTGACATGGTTGACTAAAACACTGGTTTACACCATACCCTTCTGGAAAAATAATTTTAAATGAATGTAGATTTTTAAAAGACATTACATTAGAAAAATATATAGATATTTTATTAGCTTCATTAGATCAAATAAAAATAAATATTAATTCCTTGACAGAATTCACAATCCAAAATTAACCAATACTTCAACACAAGCATATATAAGCATACAATTAAGTGCCAAGAAAATGTTATTAGATATGATTTCTTACATAAGTACTTTTTAAATTTTAACCAGTGACTTCACAACAATTACATTAGATATATTTCCACAATAGCTAATATCTAGAAAAATACCAGCACAAGTTGAAATTTAGTTTTGTGAAAAAAAAAAGGGTAATCAGCTCCAACCATGGCAAAGATCCAATGTTTATATAGTGGAACCTCCATAACCAAAAAATTCATCAATAAATATTCTTACTGCATTCTTCACATCTTTCACCAATCTACAATCAACTAAAATGCCACAAATTTAAAGAACATATCACAATAAATCAAAGTTAGAGTTGGTCTAAACATATAAAATAGGTGCTTTTTCTCATAAATCACCTGTATAGATGTATAATGTACTTGAATTTTTCATCTGGTACAGTATTATGTAAAGTTGTTGAATACAATAATAAACACCAAACTCAGTTGATGATTGCTTGATGCTTTATTAACTCTTTCAGTACAGGCTCGGTCCCTAGGACCAACCTCGTAACCATTTTGTATTTGTTACAGTTTTCATGCTATAACTTTTAAATTAGTTAGCGTATGTTCACGAAATTTGGCAGATTACCAGTAAACATTATAATGCTTTCATATGCAAAATATCAATTTTGTTTTATTAAGTCTTAAAGCTTATACAGCAATGCTTTTCTCATGCCTTTTTTTTCTTTTTTGC